TTGTGCAGTTTTATGGAAACAAAAACATTACTGATGTAGCCAAGTTAAAGTTAGAAAAGAAAGAATACGGGAAGCAAGCAGATCTCAAATCATATCTCTCAAACTATTATAGGGACACTCGGTATAGTATAACTAGATACAGGAAGGATCTAAATGGCGAACAAAATTTCTTACTAGATAAATATTTTGGTTTTTATTTGCACTGTAAGACTCCCGTCCAAGAAACACTAATGGATAATATCAACTTATATTGTCTCCTGGTTAGATAGAAAAATCTAAAACAATTTTTCATAATGTCTATAAAAAAGGCAGACCTCGATTTTGAAATTACGGCGCGTCTGCAGATGAAGGACACTTGTTATACAGAATGTAGGGACACAGAGGAATTGAGGGACAACCTAATGTTTTTTATTGAACCTATTCGTATTTCTAGAAAAAACTATGAACAATTTTTTATATATCAAACCATAAGCATATCATTGAGGCACAAACGTAAAATTTTGAAAAGAAACTATGATTTACTTGTTCCTGAAAATCTTTTGTCCACTAGACGCCGTAGAGAATTGAGAATTCTAATTTGTTTGAACCCACAGAATAGAAATACTGTGCATAGAAACACAATAAATGACACTGAGAAAAAACGAAATAATTCTTCTGAAGTTTTGACTCAAAATGAAGATATTGATAGCGATACAAAAAAACTAATGACTTTAAAATTCTTTCTTTGGCCAAATTATCGATTCGAAGATTTAGCTTGTATGAACCGCTATTGGTTTGATACACATAATGGAAGCCGTTTCAGTATATTAAGAATACATATGTATCCTCGATTGAAAATCTAGATTTTTGTTCTATTTATCATTATCATAATATTTCAGATATCTATCTGATATCTGATATGTGAACATATATATATATATATAAATAAATATTTATTTATATATATATATATATGTTCACATATAATTGATAATTGCAATAAATAAAATAAACGCGCACACGCATTGTGGGATTGATACGACTTCAATGATGTCTCCATTAGATAGAAATAAATCAATAGAAAAATGAATAAATCAAAATTGTCTTTTTTTTTTTTATTTTTTAAATACAAGACAATAGAATTTTTTATTTTTTGAATACATAAATATAGTATTTATTCTCTATTTGAATTACATTCCTTAATAAGGAATTTGAAAAAAAAAAATTCAGAATTGTGAAAATTGTTAAATAAATTAAGGTAAAATTTGATATAAAAAATTCAAAATGAGTGTCATTACTATTACTGATCAATAAAAATATCTACCAAAAAGGAGGGGGAAAGAAAAGCTTTCATTTTATGATAAAAAATTCATTTATACCTGTTATTTCACAAAAAAAAAAAGAAGAAGAAAACCCGGGATCGGTTGAATTTCAAGTATTCAACTTCACTAATAAAATACAAAGACTTACTTCACATTTTAAATTACACCCAAAAGACGATTTATCTCAAGGAGGTTTACGTATAATTCTGGGAAAACGGAAACGACTATTGTCGTATTTGTCAAAGAAAAACAAAATACGTTATCAAAATTTAATAAATCGGTTGGGTATTCGGGATTCACAAATTAGGTAATTTAAAGAATCATTTTCAATTATTCGATTTATTAGATACTGAATTTTGATGAACTTTTTTTTTTGAACGATTCATGGAAGAATGAATCGAGGAAAAACCTATGAATATCCCAGCTACAAGAAAAGACCTCATGATAGTAAATATGGGGCCTCAACACCCATCGATGCATGGTGTTCTTCGACTTATTGTTACTCTGGATGGTGAAGATGTTATTGATTGTGAACCAATATTGGGTTATTTACACAGAGGTATGGAAAAAATAGCGGAAAACCGAACAATTATACAATATCTGCCTTATGTAACACGTTGGGATTATTTAGCGACTATGTTCACAGAAGCAATAACTGTAAACGGGCCGGAACAATTGGGAAATATTCAAGTACCTAAAAGAGCCAGCTATATACGAGTAATTATGTTGGAGTTAAGTCGTATAGCTTCTCATCTACTATGGTTGGGACCTTTTATGGCAGATATTGGTGCACAAACCCCTTTTTTCTATATTTTTAGAGAAAGAGAATTAATATATGATCTATTCGAAGCTGCGACAGGTATGAGAATGATGCATAATTTTTTTCGTATTGGGGGGGTAGCCGCTGATCTACCTTATGGTTGGATAGATAAATGTTTTGATTTCTGCAATTATTTTTTAACAAGGGTTATTGAATATCAAAAACTTATTACGCGAAATCCAATTTTTTTAGAACGGGTTGAAGGAGTAGGTTTTGTTGGTAGAGAGGAAGTTATAAATTGGGGGTTATCAGGACCGATGCTTCGGGCTTCCGGAATACAATGGGATCTACGTGAAGTTGATAATTATGAGTGTTACGAGGAATTGGATTGGGAAGTTCAATGGCAAAAAGAAGGAGATTCATTAGCTCGTTATTTAGTTCGAATTGGTGAAATGGTGGAATCCATAAAAATAATTCAACAGGCTTTGGAAGGAATTCCAGGGGGGCCTTATGAAAATTTTGAAATCCGCTGCTTTGATAGAGAAAAGGAGCCAGAATGGAATGATTTTGAATATCGATTCATTGGTAAAAAATCGTCTCCTACTTTTGAATTGCCGAAACAAGAACTTTATGTGAGAGTTGAGGCCCCCAAGGGAGAATTAGGAATTTTTCTAATAGGAGATCAGAATGGTTTTCCTTGGAGATGGAAAATTCGTCCACCTGGTTTTATCAATTTGCAAATTCTTCCTCAATTAGTTAAAAGAATGAAATTGGCTGATATTATGACAATACTAGGTAGCATAGATATCATTATGGGAGAAGTTGATCGTTGAAATGAGAATTGATACAACGGAAGTCCAAGATATAAACTCCTTTTCCGGATTGGAATCTTTCAAAGAGGTCTATGGAATTCTATGGATACTTGTACCAATTTTGATTCTTATCTTGGGAATCACAATAAGTGTACTAGCAATTGTATGGTTAGAAAGAGAAATATCAGCAGGGGTACAACAGCGTATTGGACCTGAATACGCTGGTCCTTTTGGAATTCTTCAAGCTCTAGCAGACGGAACAAAACTACTATTCAAAGAGAATCTTATTCCATCTAGGGGAGATATTCGTTTATTCAGTATTGGACCATCCATATCAATAATATCAATTCTAATAAGTTATTCAGTAATTCCCTTTGGCTATAACTTTGTTTTATCTGATTTCAAGATAGGTGTTTTTTTATGGATTGCTATTTCGAGTATTGCTCCCATTGGACTTCTTATGTCAGGATATGGCTCAAATAATAAATATTCCTTTTTGGGTGGTCTACGAGCTGCTGCTCAATCGATTAGTTATGAAATACCATTAACTCTATGTGTCTTATCAATATCTCTACGTGCGATTCGTTGAAACCAAAAAAGTTATTCGATGCTATTGCTATGCTCCTCTCTTTATAGTACTATATAGGAAAGGAGGCGAATCAATTGAATAGAAACCTTCATTATCTTTATTTTTCTCCGATTGAAGAACTAAATTAGATAGTTATATGAGTGAAATAAAACAGCTTATATTGAATAGAATTTCAGAATACTTTCTTACTTCTAGTTAATAGATAGTATGATGATTTTTAATGGCAGTAAAAATATTGAGTCTCATTTTCTATGTATAAGAATGAAATAAAATTATAAACAGAAGAGGCCATTTAACCCAAGATTGGATAATTTGTCATCCTGTTTTGAAGCGGGCTCTAAAGACCAACCTTATTGAGTTTTAGTTACCATTTTTATGAATTCTCATAGATATATTAAAATAAATAAGGGGGATTAATAAAAAAGAGTGGATGGTTAGAAACACCAAGATACACAAAGGATTAGTAACACAGATTTTGTAAATTATCCAAAAGACAATTTACGCAGAATATAAAAAGAATACTAATTGGGGCTTTAAGTTGGTAGAAAAAATAAAGCAGTACTCCCCACAACTCCGATCCAGAGTATGCTTCCATCCACTCATTAAATAAATGACTATCAGGAACGAAAAAATCCTTTAAAATTTTTTAAGTCCCTTTTTCATAGCACAAAAAAGAAGAATAGGAACGAAAAAAAAAACATAAGAAATCAAAAACGAAAGAGAAATCTATTTTTCGTTTTTGATTTCTTATATCCATATCCATATTCATGGAGATCAAATCATAATTAAGAAACGAATGTTTAATTCTTTTTCGTAATTCAAAATCATGAGGGCTATTGAGAATTATAAAAGAGTATTTTATTGAAGAATTCAGTTATTACTCAACAAATTTTTATTTTTGAGGGATGAGATCAATTCAGAAGTGCCTTACATTGGATCTTTTATTAAACTATATTTCTCTTTCTTATTTCGTTATTTCTAGAACAGACAGAATTGAATTGGTCTAATTCAGAACCGTTCGATCTATTTTCATCTTCTATATCTTAGGGATATAGCAAGAGAGAAATAATTGACCCGGTCCTTAGATTTACTTAAGGCTTTCCAGGAGCCGTATGAGGTGAAAATTTCATGTACGGTTCTGTAATAGAGATGGGAACAGTAATGTTATCACCGACTAGGATTATCTAACAGTTTAAGTACAGTTGATATAGTTGATGCGCAAGCAAAATATGGTTTTTGGGGTTGGAATTTGTGGCGTCAACCTATGGGTTTCATCGTTTTTCTAATTTCTTCGCTAGCAGAATGTGAAAGATTACCTTTTGATTTACCAGAAGCAGAAGAAGAATTAGTAGCTGGTTATCAAACAGAATACTCAGGTATTAGATTTGGTTTATTTTACGTTGCTTCCTATTTAAACCTTTTAATTTCTTCATTATTTGTAACAGTTCTTTACTTGGGCGGTTCAAATATCTCTATTCCGTACATATTTGTTTCTGAATTTTTTGAAATAAATAAAACATACGGAGTTTTTGGAACTACAATTGATCTCTTTATTACATTAGCTAAAAGCTATTTTTTCTTATTTGTTTCTATCATAACAAGATGGTCTTTGCCTAGGCTAAGAATGGATCAATTATTAAATCTTGGATGGAAATTTCTTTTACCTATTTCTCTCGGTAATCTATTATTAACAACTTCGTCTCAATTGTTTTCGCTGTAAAAGATGGATCTTCTATATTCATTACTTGTCTCAAATAAGAGAAAGAAATAAAACAAAACTATTCATAGATATTTACGATATGTTCCTTATGGTAACTGGGTTCATGAATTATGGTCAACAAACAGTCCGAGCTGCAAGGTACATTGGTCAAAGTTTCATGATTATCTTATCTCACGCAAATCGTTTACCTGTAACTATTCAATATCCTTATGAAAAATTAATCACATCAGAACGTTTCCGCGGTCGAATCCATTTTGAATTTGATAAATGCATTGCTTGTGAAGTATGTGTTCGTGTATGTCCTATAGATTTACCCGTTGTTGATTGGAAAATGGAAACGGATATTAGAAAGAAACGATTGCTAAATTACAGTATTGATTTCGGAATCTGTATTTTTTGTGGTAACTGTATTGAGTATTGTCCAACAAATTGTTTATCAATGACTGAAGAATATGAACTTTCAACTTATGATCGTCATGAATTGAATTATAATCAAATTGCTTTGGGCCGTTTACCAATGTCAATAATTGATGATTATACAATTCGAACAATTCAAATCAAATAAAAAAAGACAATTTTTTATAATTTAATAAAATACAATTCTAAAAAAAAAAAGAATATTCTATATATATATAGATTTCTATATATATATAGAATATATATAGAATATATAGAATAATCGAAATAAAATATTTTCAAAAATTGTATAAAAAATGAATCATATAATCGATATTGGATTAGAAATATTCTCTAATTATTAGAGAAATATATTCTTAAATAGAATAGAGAAATATATTATCGAAATTTGAAATATTCTTTAATTTAAAGACTAGTTCAAATGGTTATATATGTTCTATCTACCTTTATACTTTAGTTTTAATATCGTTTCAAACTACTCTTTCGTATAAAGAGTAGTTTAAGTGGAATGACATTGATTATATAACCGTAACTATATCAATTTAAACTACTTAGGTTTTTTCAATGCAAAGAAAAATTTAAGTATATAACAATTTTTTCCTGGTCATATCAATAAGGTCATGAAATTTCGATTTCTTTGTCTTTTTTTTTTTTACATATAATGGATTTGCCTGAAACGCTGCACGATTTTCTTTTAGTCTTTCTGGGATCGGGTCTTATATTAGGAAGTTTAGGAGTAGTATTACTTACCAACCCCATTTTTTCTGCTTTTTCGTTGGGACTGGTTCTTGTTTGTATCTCTTTCTTATATATTTTAGCAAACTCGCATTTTGTAGCTGCATCACAGCTACTTATTTACGTGGGAGCTATTAACATTTTAATCATATTTGCTGTGATGTTCATGAATAGTTCCGAATATTACCAAGATTTTCATCTTTGGACCATAGGGGATGGAATTACTTTGATAGTTTGTACAAGTATTTTTGTTTCACTAATAACTATTATTTCAGATACATCATGGTACGGAATTATTTGGACTACAAGACCAAATCAGATTATTGAACAAGATTTGATAAGTACTAGTCAACAAATTGGAATTCATTTATCAACAGATTTTTTTCTTCCATTTGAACTAATTTCAATAATTCTTTTAGTTTCTTTGATAGGTGCAATTGTCGTAGCTCGCCAGTAAGAAATCTTTAGAGAACTACTAATATAAATCAAGACTATATATATATATGTATTTTTTTTTTTTCAATGTGAAGTGAAAGAGTTTTTAGGTAGAAATTCTTTTTTTTTATTGCCAATATATTCTTTTGTTGCAGACTTGTTATATTCTTTAGTCAATTGAATCTGTTGAATTGTTGTTCATATTGAAATGAATCAAAATTGATAAGGAGTTGGTCAATGATGCTCGAACATGTACTTGTTTTGAGTGCCTATTTATTTTCTATTGGTATCTATGGATTGATCACGAGCCGAAATATGGTTAGAGCCCTTATGTGTCTTGAACTTATATTGAATGCAGTGAATATAAATCTAGTCACTTTTTCTGATTTTTTTGATAATCGCCAATTAAAAGGAAATATTTTTTCAATTTTTGTTATAGCTATTGCAGCCGCTGAAGCGGCTATCGGACTGGCTATTGTTTCCTCAATTGCTCGTAACAGAAAATCAACCCGTATCAATCAATCGAATTTGTTGAATAAATAGCATGAATCATATCATAATTAATAAAAAAGAAACAAAGTAGAATTTCAAATAGTGTAATATTAATCAATTCATTTTAGTATTTATTCGACACAACTTATGATCATATCATGTTTGCATTCCCTAAATCATAAGAAATCAAAGTATCCTGGTCCTCTTCTATTTCCTCTTCTAAATTTATCTAGACGCCTTTTTTATTAACAGTTAACAATATTATCACAAATCATTGATTCATCTGGTATATAAATATACGATTCATTTACGAGTTTACTAGATCGATAATTTTCATTTTTGAACATCAAAAATTACTATAGATATAATGTCACATTCAGTAAAGATTTATGATACATGTATAGGATGTACTCAATGTGTCCGAGCCTGTCCCACAGATGTATTAGAAATGATACCTTGGGATGGATGTAAAGCTAAGCAAATAGCTTCTGCCCCAAGAACAGAGGACTGTGTTGGTTGTAAGAGGTGTGAGTCCGCTTGTCCGACAGATTTCTTAAGTATTCGAGTTTATTTATGGCATGAAACAACTCGAAGTATGGGTCTAGCTTATTGATACGTTTCAAAAAACACCACACGAATACGTTTTTTACTGGCAAAAACTCGTGCTCAAAATCAAATAGAAAAAAATTTTCTATTTGATTTTGAGCACGGGCTTTTCTGGCCCAAGTGTATCTTATTTTTATCACGAATGATTTTCCTTGGTTAACAATAGTTGTTGTTTTCCCAATAGCCGCAGGTTCCTTCATTTTCTTATTTCCTCATAGGGGAAATAAGGTAATTAGGTGGTATAGCATTTGTATATGCTTAATCGATCTCCTTCTAACAACCTATGCATTTTGTTATCATTTCCAATTGGATGATCCACTAATTCAACTGACGGAGAATTCTAAATGGATCAATTTTTTTGATTTTTACTGGAGATTAGGAATAGATGGACTCTCTATAGGACCTATTTTACTGACGGGATTTATAACTACTTTAGCCACTTTAGCGGCTCAGCCGGTTACTCGAGAATACCAATTATTCTATTTCCTGATGTTAGCAATGTATAGCGGTCAAATCGGACCATTTTCTTCTCGAGACATTTTACTTTTTTTCATCATGTGGGAATTGGAATTAATTCCCGTTTATCTACTTTTATCCATGTGGGGGGGAAAGAAACGTTTGTATTCAGCTACAAAGTTTATTTTGTACACTGGAGGAGCTTCTATTTTTTTATTAATGGGAATTCTGGGTATCGGTTTATATGGCTCTAATGAACCAACATTAAATTTTGAAACATTAATTAATCAATCGTATCCCGTGGCACTAGAAATAATATTATATACGGCATTTCTTATTGCTTTTGCTGTCAAATCGCCGATTATACCCTTACATACATGGTTACCAGATACCCACGGAGAGGCACATTACAGCACTTGTATGCTTTTAGCCGGAATCTTATTAAAAATGGGAGCGTATGGGTTGGTTCGAATTAATATGGAATTTTTTTCCCACGCTCATTCCATATTTTGCCCCTGGTTAATGATATTAGGTTCTATTCAAATAATCTATGCCGCTTCAACATCTTTTGGTCAACGTAATTTAAAAAAAAGAATAGCTTATTCTTCGGTATCTCATATGGGTTTTATAATTATAGGAATAAATTCTATAAGTGATACTGGTCTCAACGGGGCCATTTTACAAATAATATCTCATGGATTTATTGGCGCTGCCCTTTTTTTCTTGGCAGGAACTAGTTATGATAGACTGCGTCTTCTTTATCTTGACGAAATGGGCGGAATGGCTATCCCAATGCCAAAAATATTCACTATTTTCACTATCTTATCAATGGCTTCTCTTGCATTGCCTGGCATGAGCGGTTTTGTTGCAGAATTGATAGTTTTTTTTGGAATAATTACTAGTCAAAAATATCTTTTCATGATGAAAATACTAATTACTTTTGTAACAGCAATTGGAATTATATTAACTCCTATTTATTTATTATCTATCTTACGGCAGATGTTCTATGGATACAAATTTTTTAATACACCAAACTCTTCTTTTTTTGATTCAGGGCCCAGAGAATTATTTATTTCGATTTCAATTCTTATACCCATAATAGGTATTGGTATTTATCCAGATTTCATTTTCTCATTTTCGGTTGACAAGGTTGAAGCTATTCTATCTAATTTTTGATGGATGATTTTTGTGAATAAATGAATCAAAAAGATAAAAAAAAGATTTTTCCGTTAGATTCACTTCAAAATTTGAAATGATAATCGAATATGTTTGTTGTTTGTGAGAACCCCTTGAATCATTACATTACTTGATTGAAAGGGTTCTCAACGATTTATGGAACGTATATATTTATATGCTTTCCATATTTTTCTTTCTCAGGTTCTTTACTCATTTTTAGTCAATTAGATGTAAATGAACCATAACTATGTAGTCCTATTCCTAATAGATTGATCCCCAAATAACATATCCAAATTATAAGAAATCCTATAGAGGCCACTATTGAAGAATTTACACCTTCTAATTTTTTATTTTTTCTAGTATGTAAATAAATCGCGAATATGGTCCAAGTAATAAAGGCCCAAGTTTCCTTTGGATCCCAATTCCAATAGGAACCCCATGCCTCGTTAGCCCATACTGCTCCTGAAAGAATACCTATCGTTAAAAAGAGAAAACCCAGACTAATAATACGATAACCCCAACGATCCAATTGTTGAATAAATTGAGACCTGTAATAATTTATAGAAGAAGAAAAAGAAGTTTTTCGTAAAACATTGTTTCTTTCATTCCTATTCATGTATTTGATTTCAACAAAATCAACTGATTTTTTTAAAGAATCCAAATTCTTGGTAAAAGCAAGAATTTGGATGACTTCTTGAAACGTAATGACTAAAATAGCCACTGATAATAATGATCCACATAAAAGAGCTGCATAGCCCAGTATCATCATACTTACGTGCATCATTAGCCAATGGGATTGTAGAGCGGGTACTAATATTACGGATTGATGCATTTTGGTTAAAAGACCCGAAGTCGCAAAGCCTTGGGTAAAAATAACACTTGGTGCAATTATTGTACTTAAAAGGTTTTTCTCCTTTTTAAAAAAAGGAACCATATGAAAAATTGAAAAACCCCATGAAAGAAAGATTAGGGATTCATATAAATCACTAAATGGTAAATGTCCCGAAAAAAACCAACGAGTAATTAACAATCCCGTTACACAGAAAAAACTTATTATCATGGCTTTTTTGGACAAATCATATAATCCTACGATTTCATTGCCTAATAAGGTTATCAAATGAATTGAAATAACAATTGATATCACGGAAAACGATATATGAGTTAATATATGCTCTAAAGTTGTAAATATCATATATATAATGAAAATAAAAATATCTATAATGAAAATAAAAAAGGTATGAATTGATG